TTTCGAAAGATAAGCTGAGCATTGAAGAAGAATTTAACACTTTTGAAGATAATAACAGCTCATTGTGGAAACGCAGTTTACCCAGTCACGTTACCCACAATAAACCTGTACTCTGGAATAAGCGTAAATGACTACGGAAAACCTTAATTAGACTCTAATTTAAGCGACAGGAATCATTGAAATGTTCGAAAAATTATGCCTTAATTTAAAATTAAATGGTATATTTTTTTCTGAAATATGTGGTGGCTGTTTGGTTTGTGAAAGTTTGGGGTGCATCTTATATTGCAGACTTTTCCCTGGGATCAAAACATGTCAATTTCAACATGAAACAATGTCTCAAGTTAGGGGTGCGGCTTCTATTAAAGATGCGGCCTCAAAAAGGAATTTTACGGTAGTCCCAAACTATTGTATTTATTGTATATGAATCAACTGTGAGTTAATAAAGACATTATTATACCGTATTAGCTCTATTAGTAAAGTTGTTTCTGTGGTCAAATTAAGTAATATTTCAAAGCGGGAGGGCTATCACCATGTCCCAAGCGACGATAACAACACACGCTAACAATGCAAAAGCTCATGGGTAGACGCTTGTTTATAAACAATGACACGCTATGGCCATCTGACGCATGCGCAGGTGGCGACTTCCTCGCTTTAAAGATTCAGTAGACAACGAATGCGAGGTTTGCTTTATAAGTGTTTCTATAAATTGTGCCCTCTGGTGACGTAGATATGTGACATGAAGGTCGTTCAAATCGTCAACATTCTTTTGATAAGTAGTCGTCTACCGATGATGTTTTTAAGAGATTTTTCTATACATGTATTCCATGTGACGAACGACGACAAAAAAAAATGTTGTTGATTTGAACGACAATACCTACATCCATGTACGTAATTTTGACATCACATTAGCATACTATCACCAGAGGGTGCGATTAATAGGAATGGTGTATTAAAGATGAGCATCTAATAGAGCAAATACGATATATAGAAATATAATTACTTCTTATCAAAACATAGCATTCAACTAAAACTAACCTGCACAGCAGACTCCATAGTATTTGCAGCTTCCATAGTGAGATTATGAGCAGATACCTGGAACACAATAAAAGATGGATAAATTATCAAATACAAGTTTCCTTTTGTTGTATTTTGAACCAGTCAGATTTAATTCTCTCATTCATGTATATGCAAATAGTTTTAGTATGTACATGTGTGCAAACAAAGCATGAAATTTTTCACTTGATTAGATGCAAAATTAGAGCTAGAGTGTGACAAATAAAATGTCAATAATGTTGTTATTCTCTGAAAAAAGATACCTTACAAATATCAGTAATAATCACAGACTAGAGAGCAATAAAAGTAAATGGTCACTGATATATACAGCAGGATTCATTAGGAATGCGATTCAATCCTGGTTGTACAAATCCTGTCAGCTCTGCTACAGTACATGTATATGCTGTTCCATCAGCTGTAACCTATTTAATGAGAATAATCTCTGACAGCAAAGATGGGTTTATAAAAATCACAGTGTAGAGTGTGGTAAATAATTAATTTCACTGAATAATACCTCCAATTACAAGACATCAGTGAATTCAGTTACTCATACATTCAATGAATTATAGTATCATATGTAAAATACAGAAAACCCATTCAATTACACTCAATTTTACATTTATTTGTCGCAAGTTTCAGCCACAGCACTTTTCAATGATGGCAGAAGTTTTAAATAATACAATGTTAACACTGTATGGTATTGGTCAATGTGGATAGGTTTCATCATTGAATGGTTTTGGTTGACACAGACAGGATTCATCACTGTAGTTTTAGTCGATGGGCGGATTTCATGGTTTCTTTACTTGATAAACTTGGTAATGACACATCCATAGATGACATATTGTGATGTATAGCTAGATGATTTGGTGCTGTGCCTTGGTTTGAGACACACACACAGCACATGTTTACTTTGATTCATCATAGTACATGTATTTACCTTCCCATGTCTTTGGTGTTTACTTGATAATAAAAAAAATCATGTGTAACGCACATTTTTCTTCTGATCAAATTTGTTGTTCTAGCATATTGCCTTTCAAACATCATCCATGAATACACACGATATATTCTAAGTATTCTAATTTAGGAACAAGTCAAGAGTGAAAAGGCCATGATTTGATTTTAAATAGGCGTCACAAACAGTTGAAAAGTTTACAGTTCAACAACAACAAAAATATTACAAATATGCATTGGTTTTAATTTTCTTTGTAATGACAATAGAAGTTTAAAATAAAAACAAACATAACCACTATGATCACTGTAGAATCTGTTGACATGCAAACAACTCACTACTTGCTTTTGAGATATTACAATCATTGATTATTAAAAAAATAAACTCACTAGCAAAGCAAAGCATTATCCGTCATGCTTTTTCCCCAATGAACCTAAAGTCATGGAGTGTTGAAGAAGTATTTACAAATTTTCACGGTCAGTGACTATGAAAAACGTAAATTATACTTTAAATTAGGCTCCAGACAAAATTGAAATATTTTAAAAGTGTCGCCTAAATTAGAATACGTCCAGTACATGTATATTTTAGGTGTGATAGATTCATTTTTACCAGATTTCACAGACAAGTGATCAAAATTCAAATTTGATTACACATTGTAGTTTAGATGGTTGCACAATTTGTCTTTGCATACAGAATATATAATATATTTTCACCACTAATTTGGCAAATCAGAAAGATTGGCATACGGTAAAACATTTGTAGCTCCCTGGTTGAACATAGATCTACTTTTAATTTTTTGTCAATTTCTGTAAAGTATTGTGCTTTGATTGGGATTAGTATTTTGCAAAAATGACAGACACTTTTAAAGGCCCAGGTATACTATAAATACGCTCCTAAACAATAGGGATTATTTCCTTGCTTGTCACGCTGTAGTAAACAGCTCCAGCCAAGCTCCGGTAAAAACGTGTTTTCTCGAACTTACAGGTCGATTATGTCGTGCCAAAGTGGATGCATGTGACTATGAATATCACAGCAGTGACTGTGTGTAATATTTATGACAATAAATTGTGTACGAGCTGAGATTTTGGCGGATAAAAGTAAAAAACATGAACCGGGGAAAGGGATGCGCGACTAATCTTGAATAATTACTACTGTCAATCAAAGTCACGTGACGTTGGACCGCTGAAACAGGATGCGTCATAGGCTACGCAAGTGATTAACACCATGCATTAAAATAGCCACACCTCCAATTCACACTTGCCCGGGGCAAGTGAATTGGGCCTTTAACTTTAAAACTCAAACCTTGTCATAGTAGTGCAGTGGTTTATAATCTACAATCTGATTTGCTCACCAGAAATAACGATGTTATAAACAATGAGCCAAACATTCTTTTGAAAGTGATTGAGGGTTGACCTTTGAAAACACATGTATCTAGAACATTTTTTTTGTGCATATAGCGATATATTACTTCATATGTTTCAAAAAACTCACTGACTTTTAAATAAAAATTAACAGCCAACTCTCCTAACCATCCCCCATCTACATGTATTTTAAAGTGTGGGGCGCCACCCTATCTGTTTGATGGGACATTTCATTTAATCGAATGAGTGAGCAAAATTCTGCTCGCTAAAATTTGATCTTCAGTTACCTACTCTTAAGTGATGTTATCAAACGTCATATTTTCTCTACTAGTACTGTAGTGCATACAGTTATATAAATGACAGGTGTGTCTATGGTCTTATTAAATCATACTTTGATAATCCAGTAGACAACTGTTGGCTTATATGTGCTTCTATTGGAGTTTCTAATAGAGAAAATACAGAACTTTAATTAATCTTCCCTAACAAAAATATACCCTTTATAAGGAGTAAATTATAATACGAATAAACTCAAACTACAGGTGTGAATGAGCCTTGGCATTAAATGAAGTTAATTATTATACAGTTTTGTTATCATTTAATCAAAATGTCAAGGTGGTTGTTTGGGTTCCACAGATACAAACATTGTTCCAACACAAGGATTTCAGTCAGCTGGGTGTCCTGGGATTCTGTTAAAAGTGAAACAGGGTCGCTAAAACTACTATTCATTGTAGGTAATGAGGAGATTAATAATTTTTACACATCTGATACCGAAAACAGTTAACCAGTGTTCGGCAAGTATTACAGGAGTCTTCAAATGTCTTCCCTATTTGGAAATTGTGTGCCCTGTTTACATCATATTTGAACACTTTATTTTGTTTACTTCAGACCAAAAGTGCTATCAGCGCAGGATGGAAATGCGCATCAACTTCCACTACATGCTGGTCAATATGATCACCATACTACCTTCATGCTTACTTCGCAGTATTCTTGTGATAACCTATGGTTATGGTATACCCTGAATTTTTTTATGAATGTTAAATCAAATTCAAAGTGTTTTCTATATGTGAAGAACACAATGCATGAAATAAAACAAGGTGAATTATTTCAGATAATGGCTGTACTCAATTACTGTATACGGCTTAATTATTTCCACTTTTTTTGACAATAGCAAAGTGTGCTATTAAACTAATGGTGTGAATATGCAAACTTAACAATAGAATGTTTGCATGACAAACCAGTGAATTTAAAAATATTCAATCCCTTGCTACTGAAAAACCACTAAAATTAAAACCAGTGAATATTTTTTCCTTTTACAGTATCTGCACACCATCGTCCTATGTGATATCAATAAATGTTTTTTAAACAATTTAAATAGGCCTTCGATGCAAATGGCACCCATATCTTGTTGAGAGCGATCTTGTTGGCTGAATACGATGTTATGACACGCGCCAGACACACCAAGCGACTGTGTCCTGACATTTCATACTGTGTCAGTACATACATTTTATTTGGATAACTTTGCCATTTATTATATAGAAATTATATGATTGTATGAAATAAATTGAAAGACAATCACATCGTGATATTCTATTTATATTCATTGTGGCAGCCCCCACTCACTATTAGTTTAACATATCCTGTTGAGATTCGTTTGACCCAGCTTGTTCTAATCGTGGAACGATCGCCAGGCAGTGTTGCTGTTTTGGAACAATATGGTAGTGACAGTAACGTAGTAGTTAGGAAGCAAATTTTAGGTAAAGTGATATGTAGCACTGGCAAAAAATGGATCGTTCGATAGAAAAGCATTCATGTTTAATCTCAAATATAAAGTATTTTAATTTAGTTGAGACTACATTACACAAACCATTGATAAACTTTAGGCGACAAGTATGATGACACATGTCATTGAATGCCTAGTTCATTAACTTTGCCTAACTTGAACTGAAGAATTGATACAACATGCACTTGTATCCGCACAGACGATTTCTAGTCACCTCGACCCCTATCCCGTTCGACCCTCGACCCCAAGTTAGACACCTCGACCCCTTGCCCCCTAGTCACTTCGACCCCCGGAGTTACACACTGTGCGTCACTTCGACCCAAGAATTATACAACACTGTACGACAATATCATACTTTCACTGACTAGTTAATGTTCGTTGCTTGTCGATTTCTGTTCATTCTATCGCACGCAACTGCAAAATGACGCCATCTTGGACTGAACCATTGTACTTGATCGGCGACACCCTATTATCCCACAAATGAGGTATTGTCGACGCACATATTTTTACTAAGTAATACTTCAATGAGGTGATGCCGACGCACATATTTTTACTAAGTAATACTTCAATGAGGTGATGCCGAAACCAGTTGTCACTAATATTGACACTTAATAAAAGGTGTGATAAAAGTAATTATTAAAACGAAATGTCTTAACAAGTTTTTTATTTTCTAGGCATGCAGGCTTATATTTATAGCACCATATACAGACTGTCATGATTGTGATGTGTTTGAATAGGAGATATTTAACTCCGTGATTTAGTAGTTTTTTGGAGCACAGGGAATGAAAAGGATACATCTAATTATTATATTTTTAAAATGAACTTGGTGCGTGAATTAAGTTTATTTTTAATTGATGAATTTCATTTCTGAAAATATATAATTAGTTGCGTTGTAAAATAGCATATATGACAGCATTTGTTGCCACTGACTTGCTTGAAATAAATATAATACATTGTTGCAAGTCAGTCATAGGAAAACTTGCCTGGGCGAGTGACGTTGTGTATTCGCCCAGCTGTTTTTTGATCCAAAAACGCGACTGAAACCAACGGGTACGGACAGACGCAGCTGTCAATTATTTTTGCGGAATCAGGATTAAAAATACGCAAGACTATGCGTCAACGGAAACACTGTCATGATGATATGGAACATTATAAATATATTAAAGTATGTGTGGTTGGTGTAATAATGTGATATTGTCGTACAGTGTTGTATAATTCTCGGGTCGAAGTGACGCACAGTGTATAACTCCGGGGGTCGAAGTGACTAGGGGGGCAAGGGGTCTAGGGTCGAACAGGATAGTGGTCGAGGTGACTTGATTTCGCACAGACTACCTGGCACGTGTCCAACCTGTTTACCACTACCAAGGTCATCAGAGTCACGCAATGTAGGTTGCTCGAATAAACTCACATAAGGTAAAATAAACATACTATGCATATAGAACGCGCATTCCATGAACGGTCATGCTTAAAGTAGACTAGACACGGATATTTACTCCATCTGACCATTTGTGTATGTGTTTAATAATCGTGTGCGGTCATGTCTTCGGACATTCACAACATTGGTTCCGAATTCCTTTTATGGTTTCTGAGACAGCGCCGGTTCGAGAAGCTTGAACCGGCAAAAACATCAAGTGGAAATCATTATCATGGGGCAAACTCGCCAGGAATGAGATATTCAAGCTATCCACTCCAAGTATGGGCAAAACATGCCCTAAAAGAACCGCCATTTTCGATCAACACCACGAGCGACCAAAGAAACAAACTTGAGTTTGGTGAGAAAAACGTTACAAAAAAATTACGTATAGCTATTCAAATGCTTTTAAAGATCTGAACGACCACATAATTTCCACGGTTTCCCTTATTTATAAATGTAAGCTGGAATAGTCGATCTATAACTACCTTTGAATCAGTTTCCTTGTACGCAACTTCGTGAGCTATGTTGACCTGTGAGAATTCCGCCATGTTATGACGTCACCGGAAAAGGCACCCTCTCACGATCGGACTAAAAATGCTTTTGTTTTCAAGTTGGTACCTGCAATTTTTTTTTTACAAGGGATCGTAAATTGTAATGTGTATAAGCAAAATAATTAAACCACATTTATTCAAAAGTTCTATAAAACGTTTTATCTATTTTTGGACAATTCTTTTTCAACACACTTTTAATTATGCTACTTGGTACACCAGGTTTCATAAAGGCGTGAATTTGTTTTATGGACCCAAAATATCCATATGCTTCATTCAAATCCAAAGTTGTAGTTTTTGTTGACTGCCAAAACAACCCTTGCCCTTGGGTCTTTGAATGTTTTTTTTAATCATTCACTGAATGATATAGAGCCCATCAAATTTGTTATTGTATGACATTACAGTGGTTTGTTAATAAATTAAAAGTACTATTATCATCGTTTGGCATAGAAGATTAAAATTGCGAAAGCTTGTCAACTAAAGAGGTTAAAGGTTAACTGACTGTAATGAAGTTCTATATGGGCAGAATTCACCTGCTAAGGCTTGTGATTAGTCAAACCATTTATAAATATTTTATATAAAACAAAATTACGCCTTCATGAAACCTTGGATATATATCAATTTGTCTAAATAGATAGTAAGCAACTGACAGGACGAATGAGGTGATTGAGATATCTAAAAAGAATATTTTTCACTTTGTTTTGGTCCATCATCTGAATCACAAGTGGGAAACAAAGAACGAAGAATAAAGATTCTATATAAAGAAAACCCCACCCTAAGTTTTAAACAGAAGAACAAAGAATATATATGTTATGATTAAACAGTCAATATGAATATTCTGTCTTCGTTTTGTATAAACATACAGAATGAGTCTACCTGTCATGTCATATAGAAGTGAAATTTGGGGTGACAAACATTTGCTAATTCAAGATATTGTAAAAGATTCCAGTCTGGCAAACAACATTACATCTTGCATGGTCTTGGGAGATTGGCAGGCATATTTTATTATTAAAATCAATGTATAAAATATTGGTTGTGAATAACAAGTATGGCTAATACAAACCTCTAAACTGTAAACTGTATCTATTCCTAGTAAAATTGGTCGAAAATTAAAAGAGAATGGTACTCAGGAAAGTGCTCTCTCTTGAGGAAGCCACCTATCATAACCTGGTTTTTGGTGAGAAAATTGTATGAAGATTCAAAAGTTTTTAGAGCACAATGGCATTAGAACATATAATAATACTATGAATATCTGATGCAGATGACACTCCAACACGTTAAATGATCGTTTTTCAAATGTCTCACACCACTATCAAACTATACAGATGATAATACCGATCACTGAACCCAAGTTCAAATCCTACCTTAGGCTGAACATCAAAAGGGTCAACCCCTACCCTAGGTGAGTGTGCCACACACTCAATAGGAAGGTCAATTCCACTGGCCGTGATTCATTCTCTAAGGAATGCGACTTTGGGGAACCTTGGTTAAGGTCTGCAGGTTCTTGTGTTCGACCGAGCCTGGTTGACGCCAGGGTAGCGCATTAAAATTGCCATTTGATAGAGAGATGGCCACACAGTCCTGTCTGTAGTCCCAAACATGAATATGTTAGCACCAGCAATTTGCACATACACAAAAAAAGGACAGGACACTCAATGTTCAGAACTGTTGCCTGGCACATAAAAACATTTAAAAAAACAAACTATACAGATGACAATCAAACACATAAATGACCTTTTTTAAAATGTATCCCACCAAAATCAAACTCTACATAGATGAGAATCGGACCTATTGTACACAGCCCAGGAACCATGTACCCAAGATTTGACAAAAGTTCACTCAATTTAGATGAACTTAATAAGGATCAGAAAAATAGTAAGGAAAAGTTTTTAGTCAATATCCAAAATCAATGCTCAGTACAAAAAATTAACCAGATCTTGCCATGAGACAATGTTGCATCTCATTTGGTTGACTGGTGGTTCTCAAGTATAGAGTGAACGGAGGATACTTAATTAGGAATGATTTAATTTGTATTAAATTTGTCAGGTAATACATTGCACACTCACCAGTATATGTATTTTTTATAGCTTTTACTTTATTTAGCATATTTTATGTACTTGTACAGTATGATACACACAGTGAAAGGTCATTG